TCTCATGTGGGAAACACAATTTAAAGTATTTGGCAAAATATATTAAAACGCATTTGGTAGACATGTTGGAGGTAATAAATAAAAATATAATATGAATATATGATATCTCACAATGCGGTTCTCGTGTGGGAAAGGTAATTCAAAGTATTTGGCAAAATATATTTAAACGCATTTGACAGACATGTTCGAGGTAATAAATAAAAATATAATAAAAATACATGATATCTCGATTCGAAACGTAATTCAAAGTATTGGGCAAAATATCACATTTGACAGACATGTTCGAGGTAATAAAAAATGAATTTTGCTGAACTTATCGCGCGGCGTTGGCAGAAAAGACTACATTGTAGGCATTTATTTCTACAAGCAACAGTTTCTTACTGTAATAACACCAATTCGGTTGGGTAGATTTACTGTATAGGGGCGTCATGTTTGAACTCTATTTTATGTAAGACTATATATGCACAATTAACCATAACGCTTTTGTCGTTGGTCTGGTAGGTTTTATTGATATATACGTGGTTTTGAAAGAACGAGGCAACACTATATTTACACAAGTAGGTTAAAATGTAACCCCCCCCCCCCCATTGAACCATCTTCACCGTCTTACACCATCTTCACCACCTGACAACAGCTGTTCAGCAGTTCCTACACCATCCGACAACACACAAGCATCTGACAAACAAAGCATCTGACACCATCTTACACCATCTTCACCACCTGACAACCGATGGCTATATTGGACATATATGGGTAATAAAATTGCTTGATTCATTTTTTAGCTGCCGGACATGCAAACACACGCTAACATGCACACAAAGTCACAAACAAGCCCAAATCCAAACCATAACCAAACTATCAACTGAAGCTATCTGGAATAATGAATAAATTATACACTTCAGAAATATGTCCATAGTATCTTCTCTGAGCAGCAAGATAGGTGCAATGTCAACTCATATTTTGTAGTTCGTGATAAGAAGCAATTAAATGTGATCAATTTTCTCGATCAATTACGTAATACTAATCGGGAGAATCTCGATGAATATAACAATCGGGTAAATGCCTACGGATCATTTCTCCACAAATATACATCCTTATTAAACGAATGTTTCCCTCTTAAACACATCAAAGCATCAAAACATTGTTTAACAAAACCTTGGATTTCCAAATGCTTACTTAAATATATTAGGAAAAAGAAGATTTTACCGAAAATTTCTTAAGTTTCCCACCTCACAAAACGAAATAAATTACAAACAATATAGAAATAAGTTGAGTTCTCTGTTACGCACAGCAAAACGCCTTCATTATGAAGAAAAATTGAACTTAGCGAAAACAAATGTTAAGAAAACTTGGCAAGTTTTGAACGAGATATTACAAAGGAGAGGGAACAAAGCGAATAAACTACCCTCTAACCCAATGGAAATAGCTAATCAATTTTGTAATTATTTTTCTAATATTGGCTTATGTTTAGCGAAAAATATTCCTGTATCTCAATATACTCACCACTCTTATCTTAACGGTAATTTTATCAATTCTGTTTTTTTTTCAACCAGTCTCGGGGTTGGAGCTAAACGAAATTATTAAATCATTCCGTCCTAAAACCGTGGTTGGCTGGGACAAAATCCCAATGTGGGCCGTCATATTGTAAATTTGTCAATTGAATCCCGCATAGTTCCCGACCAGATGAAAATCGCTAGAGTTGTACCCATTTATAAATCTGGACCAAACAATCTATTCTCCAATTATCGACCTATATCAGTTTTGCCAATATTTTCTAAATTACTATAGAAAGGACTGTGTGTAACCGCATTATGGATGTCATAAACAAAAACGAGGTTCTGTTCAATAACCATGTGGCTTTAGAAAAAAACATTCGATAGCTTTAGCAGTTCTGCATCTGGTTGACAGTATAACCTCTTCTATTGACCAGAAGAAATTCACTGTTGGTATTTTCATCGACCTTTCAAAGGCATTCGACACTGTAAATCACAAGATACTGCTCGAAAAATTGCAGCATTATGGTATCCGTGGTTTAGCACTCGATTGGATAAGAAATTATCTTAGTTATAGATACCAATTTGTTGAATACAATGGTATTCAATCATCTTCTAATGAAATTAAATGCGGTGTTCCCCAAGGATCAATTCTTGGTCCACTTTTCTTCTTGTTGTATATAAATGATATTTGCAATGTCTCCAGTATTCTTAATTTTATCCTATTTGCTGACGATACTAATCTATTTCTTTCTCACAATGATCTTTCGTTTATGATGAATACAATTAATAGTGAATTGCTCAAGCTGTCCGAGTGGTTTAAAACCAATAAACTTCAATTAATATTCAAAAAATCTAGTTATGTGATTTTCAAAACTAGACAAAAGAGATATATACCTGAGTTTAGTATAGAAATTAATAATACACAAATCAAACGGGTTAATGAGGTTGTTTTCCTCGGAGTTGTTCTCGATGAAAATTTATCTTGGAAACCTCATATTTCGCATATCTCACGTAAAATTTCTAAATCAGTTGGAATAATTTACAAATCGAGTTTTTTGCTCTCTAAATCTTGTTTAAGAGCTTTGTACTTTTCATTAATCTATCCGTACTTGCATTATTGTATTTTGGTATGGGGTTCAACTTATCAGTCCAATCTCGAACTCATCGTATTGCTTCAAAAACGTGTAATCAGAATAATTAATAAGAAGGAATATGATGCTCATACTTCTCCTCTATTTAAAGAGAGTGTGATTCTCAAACTGAATGATATTTATCTATTCTGCTTGGGAAAATTTATGTATCTTGCTTCTAAAAATTCTCTTCCTCCTAGCTTTAAGAATTTGTTTTTGGTAAGTAGCGAGGTACATAGCTATAATACCAGAAGTTCGAACCTAATTAGTATACCATTTTGTACAAAATTACGACAATTTTCTGTCTACTATCAAGATCCAGTATTTTTTAACTCCTTGGACCAGAATTTAAGGAACGCCATGTCTGTCTATTCTTTCCAATCGAATCTTAAAAAGCATTTATTTTCGATAATTTGTCCGATGACCGTAACTAAATAGTATCTAGATTTACATCTAGGCGTGTGGATCTAATTATCTCCGTTTTGATATTATGTGTGTGTCCTTGTATTATATTAGTTTCCTTATTATATGTCTGCTCACTATTCTACCTCATATATATTTAGATAACTTATTCTTTAATATTTGACATGAGGTAGTCTAGCAATTAATAAGATTTGGCTTCTAGTTGGACTACCTCGTCACAATTTTTCATTTCTTGTCTCTTCTATCTTATTACTTTTGTAAATTGTTGTATCAACCAATTGTGGTAAATTAATAAATTAAATTCAATTCAATTCAAAATTCAATTCATGCGGGAGGCAGGACGTTTGTCAGCTGCCATGCAGTATTTACATTATAAAGAAATGTAATAAAGCAAAATATTGAATATTTTGGTTACTAACGAAGCTTTTCTTCGCCTAATACAGTTTGGAAACGTTGCGTATTTGGAAACTTTACTAGTTTGTGGGTTATACGATCTGGACAACAAAGTTGTCGGTTATTGTCGTTACCGCCAGATAAATATTATCTGTATTATATTAGTTTCCTTATTATATGTCTGCTCACTATTCTACCTCATATATATTTAGATAACTTATTCTTTAATATTTGACATGAGGTAGTCTAGCAATTAATAAGATTTGGCTTCTAGTTGGACTACCTCGTCACAATTTTTCATTTCTTGTCTCTTCTATCTTATTACTTTTGTAAATTGTTGTATCAACCAATTGTGGTAAATTAATAAATTAAATTCAATTCAATTCAAAATTCAATTCATGCGGGAGGCAGGACGTTTGTCAGCTGCCATGCAGTATTTACATTATAAAGAAATGTAATAAAGCAAAATATTGAATATTTTGGTTACTAACGAAGCTTTTCTTCGCCTAATACAGTTTGGAAACGTTGCGTATTTGGAAACTTTACTAGTTTGTGGGTTATACGATCTGGACAACAAAGTTGTCGGTTATTGTCGTTACCGCCAGATACGCAGGTTAGCCTACACATTCGCGTATCAAGTTCCGGTTAGTATCGAAGCCGGAAAAACTTTATACCATATAAAACAACACACCATATTATAGCGTTTGGTCGCCAATTTTACAGGACAATACTACTTTCAGCAGGTAAGTAACTAGGTCTTATTTTTCACCCTGCTCGGTTTCCTTTGTTCTTGTTGGGGAATATATTCAATATTCCCCTCTAATCAATTTCCGTTTAATAATCCCTCTAGTATTCACCTGCAATTAATAATCCCCTTTAATATTCACCTGCAATGTCTTTGCAGCACAAAAAATGAGAAAAAACAACATCGCGAAGGCAAAATGGCATTAAGAATTATTTCTTTTCTGACTCATTAACGCGACCTCGCAGTGTGAAAAATAAGTACGTTATTTTGAGGCACCTCGGGGATATCACATATCCCTTCGTTGCCTCAAAATAACCTACACATACTTGTTACAATGGATTATTGATGTTATTCCTATGAAACCATAAATTTCATTGCAACCAGACATAATATCATGCAGTATATGATTATCTTGTATTATACATGCAATTGTTCAATTTATTTACCCAATGTGACAAGATCTGCAGTTGCAAGGCCTAACTAGGAACAGAAGCGAAAAATTCAACTTTAGGTCCCTGCATGGTAGGAATTGAACCTGTATGTGGCCCTGCGATTCCGCGGTGCAGAGCTCTAACCAACTGAGCTGCAGAGGCCAGTTGTCGAGCTCTAGCCACAAGTTCATGTACACCTAGGGTACTCAGTATACGGTACTGCCATGTATAGGTTATTTGTAATAATATTTGATAGGTATTGAAGATGTAAATTGTCGAGTGGATATTTGCATACATTAACTAAGATGGATGTAAATATCCATTATGGAACAACTGCATATTTAATTGTTTCCCTTTTCTATCTAGACTTGACTTTCATAAGATGACTAATGTTGGTTTTCTCATTTTATTTGGTCTCAGTTCTGTGTTGTTTCCATGTGAAGGTATAAGACTTTATTTTCCCAATTTAATTTTATTTTCTCGCGTTTTTATATCCCACTCTTTGCATGCTTGACTCGCTTGCGAGACAATCAATTTTTTTTGTTTCCACACGGCTATATAGGTATTATCTCCTTTAATTATTTAAGTTGAATGAGTTGTCTTTCGCCATCCCCATTGGATCCCTTCGTGACAATACATGATTGATGGTCAGACTATAGGTTGAGGAAGTTTATCACTTTATAACCGAAAAAATCGGGGTTGTTTTCAAAAACGGTGTATCATTGTTTCTGAAAGATCGTAGGACTGTGAAATGATTAAGATGGTACTTCTGAATGCACGTCACTTGCGAAGGAAAGCTACTTGTTAACCTTATAGAAGAGTATTGATTACTTTGCAAATTTGTTTTTGATTATCGGTTTCAGTTATTAACTTCTTCAGCCTCAGTCAAATTCGTCCTGGCCCGCTCCCCCAAGGAAGTTACATAGTCTGTGAACAACCCATGTAAAAGAAATAATCGTTGCAGTGACTTTTAAACAGTAAAGAAAACGTTTTGTTGTGTAGGGCAAGTCTATCCACCATCTAATCAGAGCACGATAGTTGTTCTACCTGGAGCAACTGAAAGATTAAAGTGGTCATTTGTGGGCGATCCTGCTCAAGCATCTCTAGCTTGGTATTTCACAAGAAGAGGTGGTTCAGAGGCAGAAAAGCTTGCTGTAAAATTTCGCACTAATGCCCCTATAATAACTAAGAGCAGCTTACCTAGGCTTGCGATAGAAACGCCAGCAACATTGGTTTTAAAAAATGTTGATGCACGTTATAATGGAAAGTACCGGTTGAGCGTTCAACAAACTGGTGGAGGCGTGGATGCTGAAGTTGATGTTTTTATTGCAGGCAAGTTTTCATAAAGTCTTCCGATTTATTTAGAATTTTAGGATAATATATTTTTTTATCAGTTTTCGAGTTGCATGCATGTATATGGCCAATTAGCTATTTCCCAAAGTCCCGGGTCTAGTCGCGCGAAACCCATGTTAGATGGACAAAATATATGGCAGCACACATTTAAATTAAATATTTAATTTAAAAAGGAAATATTTCATTTTTGGTCGTCTAAAAAATTGATATTTAACAGTAGATACTTCTACACTTTCACATATTTGAGCCTGTCACCATATATTTTGTCCCTCCAAACGATCCTAGAATGCGCTGTGATCTCTTTTGGGAAAAGGCTAATTCATCAAGGCAACATCCTTAGGGGCTGGTCGATCAGTGTTGGGGGTGGGACTGAAGTATTCAGGAAAGTAGTGGCCCAAAATACCTGACTCATCGCACTTTATTGGCTCTAAAGTTGGTCATTATTGAACAGATGCGGATGTTCTTTTCATCTTTTAAATAAATAAATAAACATTCGGCTTTGTCTGATAACACAAACTTGGAGCTTGATAATTCTGCATGTCTTGCTCAACCTCATTTAATAATTGTTAAACTTTTTAAATAATGATTATGCAAAATGTGTGCCTCAATTGTGATAGCTCACTTCGATTACCAAAAGTAGTGTACAGGAAAAGTAATTTTGCAGGAATAATTTAAACTATTTTGCATAATTTTAGGCTATTTTGAACCAAATAGCCCTACATTGAAAGTGTTGATTACATACGCCCTAGCATTGTTCCCGCCTTTAAGACTCGAAGGAAGTTATCCATCATACCCTACGCGCTCAATGTTTAAGGTTTAAGATTTTTGAAGGAGAGCATTTGTCGAATGTATATATATTAACTACTATTTTTTACAATGTCGGCAAACATTTTAAATAAATAAAAAAACCTGGAATGAAACTACTGTACGTTAGTTTATTTTGTCAAATTTTAGGCTTTACTCTGACTATTTCTACAAAATACCTTTTAAACTTTTAACGCACATCGCTTCATTACATTTCAGAAAAACCAACCGTGACGTTTAGTTGTTCCAGTCCTATCAAGGTAGATGAGGGTGATAATGTCACATGTGCATGTAGAGGACAAGGTGGAAACCCTCCAGCCAATGTAATTTGGTACAAAGATGGCGTCCAGATTGGTAGAACCGGAAAAGAAGAACAAACATTAACTCTCAGGAATGTTAATGGAACAGACACTGGAGCATACAAGTGTGTGGCCCAAAGTCACACTCTAATTAACTGACGAAGAATACATCAAAATAATTGTTTATTGTAAGTAGAGTCAATGGTAACTGTTTAGAACGAAAGGCCATACATGCATGCATGCCATTCATTTCGTTAATACTGTTTTCAAAATGTTTGTGAATATATTTCAAATAGTAAAAATATGCATAAAAAAAGCTAATTATACCCTATATGAATTGAACGCGCTTGGCTATATCAATTCTTGCTGTTTGAAAATTTATATAGAATACATAAAGGTAAAGCTTTCAATCTGTAAGCCTGGATGTTCATTCAGTGCTAGTAAGAAGTTTATCATTTATCAGCATATAAAGAGTTTGTATCTTTACAGACGCTGTTCCACCTAGAGTAATAAGCCTTACATCGACTCCAGAAAATGTCGTACTTGGTGAATCAGTCATGATAATGTGTGAAGCAATAGCTGTGCCTTTACCAAGTTATACCATAATCCATAACGATACTGAGGTCGTCAGTACTCACAACACACATATTATAACAGTTTTGAAATACAGTGATGCTGGGTCATATAAATGCATTGCCACAAGTATACTTGGAAATAGTTCAAAGACCTTCAGCTTGTCTGTCACAGGTAATCATATACGATCTTTGCTATGATTGCATTACCTTTTTAAAAAGTGATATAAACTACAGTGCATCAAGCTTAATATGTAACTATATATGGGCAAATCAGAGAGCGGACTCTTAACAATGTGATTTCATTTTCAGTAACACCAACAACGACTACTCCAACTACAAAGGATTTCGGAACAGGTAAAGTCGTTTTCTTTTCTTAACATGGTTCCAGATAGTATAATATTTGTGTTATGTTTAATTTTTTGGAACGCCCATGCAGTAAACGGTACATAGAACCAGATGGTTTAGGGAATTGGTAAACCCATCTATGTGACTGTGTTCTTAATTTTCAGGAAAAGCAGCTTTAGAAGAATGTAGTCGTAGTGGAACTGTATGGTATATGGTTGTGGTAATATTGGTGTCTGGGATTATCATTGGAATTCTTTTTTGCTACATTGTCTTGTGTTTCCGTCGTAAATTTAGAAGTAGGAAACCTCAATCAAACCCTGAACCAAAGGCAACTGAAGTTGATACATCTTATCAAGAGCTTGATCTTTCAAAAATGAACACAGAAGATAATTATCAATCGTTGAGAAACAGAGGACCTCAATCAAACCCTGAACCAAAGGCAACTGAAGTTGATACAACTTATCAAGGGCTTGATCTTTCAAAAATGAACACAGAAGATAATTATCAAGAGTGAATGCTGCAAGTAATTACGAGGATTCAACATATACTGAGTTAAACACAGCCAGAGACGTGGAGAACAACTACCAATCTTTAACTTGAACCTGGAATTTTATATGCGTCCCGTTCAAATTAGCTAATAATCTTACTAAATCTTACATCTTTGTCTTTCAAACAATTAAATAAAAATTCCAAAGAGCAATTCCAGACGAGTAGCAATGAACATTAAACAAAGAAATCAACGAACTAGGCAAACCAACCCTCTTACAATTCATTACAGTATTCCACTTATTTAACCGACAGGAAACGTTTCCACAAAACAATTTTTAAAAATAAAATTTGGGGGTCACCGATGTCGTTTACGAGTTAAATTCACTTCAGTGGTCCAATTACTTTAAAGCCAAAATATCCGCCATCTTGCAACGTCATTCTGCAAATCTTTGAATTTTGAATTTGAATTCTGCAAATTCTTGAAACGTCATTCTTGAAACGTCATTCTGCAAAACGTCATTCTGCAAAACGTCATTCTGAAACCTGTGAGCTGCAGAGGCCAGTTGTCGAGCTCTAGCCACAAGTTCATGTACACTACACGGCAAAAAACGCTCAGGTTGATGCAATACTGATGAAAACAGGATTGAACAATGTTTTGCTGCCCACATTTCATAGCTGTCAACAACATTGAACAATATTGTTACACCCGATTCATGCTCAACAGCATTGTTCAATATTGTTGACAAG